GAAAGAAGGGCTTATGATGCATGATTGTCTATTCACCAATCCGTTTGCAAGAATCGCATGAATGCGTAGTAGGTGCTGCACAACTACACTAGGGTCTCCCACACATAATATTCCTCCAAACAATTAATATCTTAATAACAAATTATTAAGGTTTCTAATTATAATAAAATCAATTTTTAGAGGTTCAAATTAAATAAAAATAGTCTTATCTTTTTGGTCAAATTGTAATAGAATCAACTAAATTATACACGTTTTTTCTATGCAATTTGTTCACTTTGGTATTACTTTTTTTGGGGTCAATCTTACTTTAATAGATGTTGTAAAAAAATTCTACATTCTATTGTTTTATATTCCCTGTATGATTTTAAATGAGTATAAACAACTTACACTATTTTCATTTAGTTTATCCCATATGGATCCCACCACCATGCTGGTTCATTATAAAAAGGTAAAAAGCAGACACGTATTTTCCAATACACAATTTATTACACAGCAAACCCCTATTTTTATACACACAAAAAAGGGTTTATTTTTCTTATCTCCTTCACTCTGATTACTTCATAAATCCAACACAGATCCTCACATCTCCCCACTCAACTTTCTCTTTAGTCTTTTTTCTTATAACCAAAACAAAAAAAAACTTTTTCTTTGCTTTTGTTTACAATTAGGTTATTTCAATGGATGTAACAAATGAAACAACGGATAGGTCCGATCTCCGGCGACCATTGGTGGAGAAAAAACCTTTTTCGGACGTCGGACTCGAGAGTGTCTTAACGGAGACTAGCCTTTCTTACCGGAGGCGCGTGTACTTAGGCGCGTGCATAGAGATGAAACTACTCTTCCGGTTAGCAATTCCGGCGATACTTGTGTATGTAGTCAACAGTGGAATGAATATATCAGCTCGAATCTTCGCCGGACATGTCGGCGGTCAAGAACTCGCCGCCGCGTCCATCGGAAACAGCTCCTTCAATCTCGTCTATGGACTCATGGTACGTTTTCACGTTACTTTGCACATGTGTGAGAGAGTTGAGACAGTAGTGGC